CGTGTAAAGATTGTCTCTTGTGCAGGAACATTTCTGAAAACACATAAATAAATAAAAGTTTTAACCTTGATTAGGCATTCATTTCTTCAATATTTTCAGGGGCCACTAGATCACAAAGAAGGAGCTGCATCTGTGCATGTGGGGACATCTCAGACTCCTGCCTATTATCCTTATGAATACACATTTGGACAATATCCTTATGACAGATATGGGTAAGTGAACAAGAATGCTTTCATGCTTAAATTAAAACATATTTTTAACATGATAACTGTAAAATATCGGTGTCAGCATTATCATTTACTTCAGAATGATGGGAAGTAAATGATAAACCTGTCTGTAGCAGGTTTATGGAGTCAGTGTTATACTATAATAAGATTTATTATATTTATAGTGTTTTATTGTAATTTACTCAAATTTAATTGTAATTTATAATACCACATTCTTGCAAATATCGTGTTTTCTTTCCCTCTGTTTTTCACTTACTTTTGGTATGAGCTAACTGTTTATTTGATTCTCATCATCTGGCTCAGTTATTCCTGCTCAGACGGCGCTTCGCGTCGTAAAAACGCCACCCGAGAGACCACCAGCACCCTGAAGGCTTGGCTGCAGGAGCACCAGAAGAACCCCTACCCCACTAAAGGGGAGAAAATAATGCTTGCCATCATCACCAGAATGACGCTTACGCAAGTGGGTTCTTGTAAAATATTTGATGTTTATCGGGAAATTTTTTGGTTCTGTTGCATGATAATGTGTCTGATTTTCACCTTTTCCTAATTCCATACAAATAGTACATTTTTCCACATTTCGACTTTCCTTCTCCTCCTTTTCTAACTTTACGTTCGCTTCTGATTTCTCCTTCTTTCCCTCAGGTGTCTACGTGGTTTGCAAATGCACGCAGGAGATTGAAAAAGGAGAACAAGGTGACGTGGTCACCGCGGGCTTGTAAAAGCTCAGATGACCGAGGCTGTGAAGATGACAGTGATGAAGCTGAGAAGCCACTTAAAAGTGACAAGGAGCTTCCTGGTATGCAAGTCCTAAATCAGTCTGCCAGCAAAGTTTGCTTTGTTTCATGGTTTCCCGAGCTTTGACTGTTATGCACAGACTCTTTACTGTCGGTGTCGTTTGTTTTTTCTCAGAGCAACAGTGCGCAGACCTGCAGAGTGATCTTGAGGACTTTGATCTGCTGGAGTCTGATGCTTCTGACTGTGATCCGAAGCCACAGTTTCTACCTGAGGACAATGAAGTGAACCCAAACACAGAGCTACCCCACGTGCATCTCGCACACAACCCAGATACACTGCACAGAAAAGA